AATCGCCACTTTGGGTAATTTTGGGCACCAAGGCCACTTGGAAAAAAGGGCAAGTCAGACTGGCCGTTTGAGAAGTAGGGCATCAAGGCCACACAAGGGGGCAATCCGTGGTATTATTCATGTGCTGGTCACACAACTATGATTTTATAGGTTCAGCAAGAATCATCTAGTAGCCAATCACAGCAAAAAGGGTGTACACCAAAACAACTGTGGAATAACACTTTCAGTCAAATCATGCAATTCACTTCGAAAAATGTGGAGAATCAGTTTCAGAGAAAACACGTGATTGCCAAGAAATTGAAACTGTCAATTTTATGTATAAAAAGGGATGTGCCAGCATGGTCTGCTTGAGTCGTTTTGTGTACACCGAGGCTATTGCTACTCTACTGGAGGGAATAAAAGGGCGCTTTCACACTAGGTACGATTGTTCCGTATCGTGCCCCAATATAATTGTTCCCCCTCCCCTCTCCCCCCGCTGGTCAGCTTTCACACTCGTATTATTGTACTGTACCCGGCTACACTTGCATATATCAAAATTCCGATATGGCACATTGCAGTATGCACCTTTGTGATTTTAAATGGGGATATACCGTAGACAGAGAGATGAAGCAAAGCTTGCGTGGAAAGAATTCCATATCTGACCTGTACTTTTTTCGGCTTTTTATTTGTCAGTATGATTTTAAAAGGAGGTGCCAATATATTTTGCGGAATTTTATTAATGAGTGGGGGTTTAGAATATTAATATTGCGAATGCATATGCTGCGCGATGCCTTAGCAACCCTGTGTGTTATCAGTAACATGGAGTACCATGTATAGCAGCACGAGACATGAAACTTAAAATTTTCTTGACTGGATGTACACTCGATGTTTTTACACACCCAAATTTTCCTCTGAGTACCCAAACATAAAAGTAGGCTGAATAAGTACTTATTTCAAACAATATTGGTGGAGGTTGAATACAGAATTCTTTCCCCTTGCGTTTTTGGCCATTATGCTATCCACTGCCTCATACCACAAAAATGTATCTTTCTCATAACTTGAGCTGCTAGACTTTTGCACCGCGTCCTGCACTTTGAAATATCGTAGCTGCATTTTATTTGTTTGTCACTGCGCTGTTCTATTGCCCTGTGATAACCCTGCGAATGTAACTACTCTGGAATAAGTCCATAAATCTGAGTTTTTGTGTGTCGTATCCAGTTGTCATTGTATGTTTTCATCTGCCCAAATTTCGAGCTAGTATTGAATTTCTTCGTTTGAATGGCGAGATCCTTTCACCACCGTATTTGTTAGAATAAAGGAGCAAATTAGTTAAGATGTCATGTAACAGTAATCTTCTGTGCTCAAGTATGGTTGCTTTCACATTTGGTACGAGAACGGATGATCCGTGCCCGAGACCACCTCTTCCAAACGGACTCGCATACCATGCTCAAGCATGGTACACTTATTTATTTTTATTTTATTTGGATCCCCATTAGCTGATGTAACATACATCAACTATTCTCCCTAGGGTCCACTCAGTACATGTAACCATAAGAATACACAATCAAAGCATAACTTAGAACAAGAAATTTACAAACATGAATTATCCATAATTAGATTACGCAAATAACCATACCATTTCATTTATTTTACTTGTGTTCACACTTACCAAATGAACTGGACTTTGGGGTCAAGTGTGCTTGGATCTGTGCCCGAGTCCCTAGTGTGAGTCCCTAGTTTGTTGTCCTGTTAACCGCAACACCAAGCACCCTGCCCATGTTCTAATAGCACAAGCATGGACAACGTAAGTAAAGCTGAAAAGCCGAATTTACAAAAAATATTTTTCTCTTAGGCCCGTGTAACTTCACTGGTCAGACGATCGGGTGTTCAGAGTTGATAACCAAATGACGAAGTATGTTTATCTAAGATGCATGTAAGTCTTGGTCACCTGAAATCAAATAAGACTGGCAAAATATAGACATCCATGGGAGCTTGTTTAAAGGGTTTTTTTTTTACGATATTTGCAGCGCCTAGTTGCCAATGTATATCGCGTTGCTTGTTTTCAATTAAATCTTTCCATTCTGTTTTTTAAGTAGCTCCTTTAAATAGCAGTAGAAGTCCCATTCGTTGGTCCACAGTAAAATTGTCATTTAATTTATTTTCGGACATTTTCTTTGTGTGCAGTCTCCGCAACAGTCTGATCTGCGCTGATGTTGGACTACACTGATACCGAGGTAACCATGTGCCATTAAAGGTCAAGTACTTGCTCAGAAGAATCACCGTTGTAATATGCGATTATCACGGGTATTTAGCTGTGCGCGTGTAAGCCATGTTAAGTTAGTGTTATAGGCTTAGTTGATGACTTGAAACAGAGCCGGCCCTACCCAATGTGGCGCCCCCCTCCATCGGCGATTTACATACGCTTACAAAAGAAATCGAATAGCATTGTTTTTACCATTGTCTTTAATTTATAAGATAACATGTCACCTAATTTACATGCGTAAGAAATTACAAATAAATACAAAAAAATCTGAAATACAATATAAATACCCTTCCCACAAAAATCCTGTAAATAAGTGAATTAATAATTGGATTTTAACTACAAAGAAATCTAAAATTACTGAAATTCCGAAACCGCTATCTTGAGGAGAATAAACATTCAGTTATCAAAAGGAAAAGTGCCAATTATATTTTAAAAGGACAAATACTTAAACTTTTTTGATGTGGCGCTTGGGGGTTTAGTAGTGATTGAAGCAGTATATGGGGTAGTTTGAGTCATTTTCAGGGTGAGATGCTTATAACTCAAGTGATTATGCATGACAGATGTTGACAGGTGATAAATATCCTTGCCTCTGCTAACTTTAGCTTTGCACAGTTTGCAGATAACCTTGATTGGTTCTACTGCGCTGACTGTAAAGTGCTCCCAGACATCACTGCAATGTTTTTTTATGGTGGGGGAATAGCACTGCAAACAGGGGGATCATGCACATGTTTGTCTGAATCCATTTTCCGAAATATTACAAAAGAGACAAATCAAAAAGGAAAATTTCTGAGATAAAAATCACTGAGCTACAGCACTTAATGCAAGCTAAATAATGGAGCTAGCTCGCCACCCAACTCTCAGCCATGTATATTTTTCTCCAGAGTGCACACGCGCGCGCACACACACACACACACACACACACACACACACACACACACACAAACTAACTTGGTTAAACAACAGCATGCCACAACTAAGCAATGCAACTCAGGGTAACTATTTTAGTGGTAAATAAAGGAATCAGAATTTAGCAAAACTGTCTGCAATGATAGCTAGCTACCCAACTCTGTCACAGGTATTTTTCTCCAGAGCGCCCGCACACAGACACAGACCAGCAACGCAGGTTTAAAAACCCACTCTAACGTCTATCCACTCTGTGAATCAAAAGAAATACAGTCAGCGTTTTAAAACTTTCTTGCGCAACAACCCAACAGTAGAACAAAGCAAGCAAACTACACTAACAGGCTAAAGACGATATGTTAGCCTCTCAGGCTCCCACTAAAGCTGATACTGTAGCCTGTTCATGACTAAATGAACAGACTCGCGCTAAAAGGACAAGCAACACAGGCTTAAGAAACCCACTCTAACGGCTACTGATCTCGTCGATTCTGACTGACTGGTGAGGATGATTGACAGCGGTGGCAGCCAATCTAGTTTAAAATTAGAGAACTTCAGAACCAACCACTTGTAGGAGATGTTTCCCTTAGTCAACTCGGGTAAAAAAATATATTATACATATTATATAAGGCCGAACTTTTAACAAAATGTTCGGACGAATAGTTTATTCGGCAAAAAGCCATTAATCGTGACTTGCCGAATATGGATTCGGAATCGAATGCATCCCTACTGATTAGTATACCATGTTGAGGCTAATCGCTCAGAAGCAAATTATCAACTTAACAATGCACTGTGCTAAATAACTGACGCAGTACAACTGATGCTTCATTTAATTACTGTATCTTTACGTTACCTCTTTCTTTCTCCCGTTTTTCCTCCTTTTTTTTCTTCTTCCCTGTGCTCCGGACACTTTAGGTCATTTGGACATGTTTACAAAGTTCTCCGGGATCACATCAATAAATCTTCCCCTCCCCCCACAGAGAGTGAGCAAGTACCGATCAGCCGGAGGAGCGGGGGGGGGGGGACTAATTTGGTGTTATCATTTGTAGTAGCTAATATTAATTGGGCATTGCTTTATATTTGAATCTATGTTAGCTTTTCCATTTTAAGAGCTGATAGTAATAACTTGTTTTCATATAATTATACTGAAGGTGAATTTTTTCCCGATTTTGTGGCGCCCCTGGAGGCCACGGCACCCTTAGCATTTGCCTATATTGCCTAATGGGCCAGCCGGCTCTGATTTGAAATATGCTGGCTAAACATCTTTCGTAATTCGGACCAAAGTCTTTATATACATCTGCAGTAAAGCTTTGGAGATTGTTGGATGAGAATGGCACAGAAAGTCCAGCCAAAATGAGCAGTTTCACCTGTACTTATGACAGGTTGCACTGCGATACAAAGCAAGAAAAGAAAGACGAAAGTAGAAAAGGTGATAAATAAGAATAATTTGGGTATTAATATGGGCCTGCCTGTTGCATGCCCTCTATCCTGAGCCTGTCCTCATAAACCAGCCATGCTGAGTTCTGGAGTGGCTATATTCAGGATCGTCTGTCAAATGGTTGTGTGATGCACCTAGTGTGTCGGCGAAATGTCCGTGTGCTTATCATCTCTTGCTTTCACCCACCAGTACAACTAGCCTCTCCACAGCAACTCTCAGGCAGTGCCTCCCCATTAGCTACAGATGGTAACTGGGCACCGAAAGGGCCCAGACTAGACTGTGGGGAATTTGGAGGAGGTTTGGCCCCTAGCCATGTGACATGCATGACCCCCTAGTGTGTGGACGCACCCTGATGCCTGCAGACCAAATCCCCAGCTATGGGTCAAATAGCTTGGTAGACAGAGTTCTTCTAACTTTGAGGCTGCCAGGTTAGCTCACTCGGTTAAGGCGCCGCATTGCAGAGCAGTAGTGACTACTACGGCGCGGGTTCGATCCCCGGTCGTGCCAACCAGCAGTGGTCGGCAGCTTTTTCAGAACAGCGCACGATTGGCTAAAACGCTGTAGGGACGCAAATTGGGAAGGGACTGCTGGGAAGGGAAATTTAAAAAAATTATTACCTTGTTCGTTGCTCAAGCGCCTCCTGTTGGCCAGCCGGGCGCTCTTCAGTGAGATTCTAAGCTTGCTCATGTTCGGGTATCCTCCGCCCTCGTTCTGAACTTGCGATAGTCTTGACCAATGAATGTAAAGATGCAGGGGCTGACAGGCGCGTGCTTCGGAGGAGGGCCGCAAACTGTCTCTCTCTCTCTCCTAAGCTGACCACAGGGGGTTGTATATGAGCAAGTCTTGTACATAGTTCTTGGGTTGGGCATTCCAGATTCGGGTGGGATTGGAGATGCCATATTTATTTAAAAAAAAATAAAAATAAATAATAATAATAATAATAATAATAATAATAAAATTTAAAAAGAGAAGATAATTCTGACAACAAACCTGAAGCTTAGCAGATGCCTTGGCCAGCCCAGTTCACCAATCTACTGAGGAAGGATACTTAGCCAAAAAAGTGGACTTGAGTGACCTGCAGGTGAAAAGCAACCATTGCTGGTGAGAGGAAAGTCCTGTAGCGCTAAGTATACTCAGAGGCAATGAAAACGCAACACCAGTTTGGATTCAAATAATTTTGTCACTCAAATTTTTTTTCTTATTTTAACAATTCAAATATGTTGGGTGGGTTGACTTTGATGAATTAAATGTGTTAATGGGCCGATTTGGACAATAATAAACAGATGCATTAAACATAACAAGCACAAGTTGAAAATGAAAAATCACAACAAGACTGAACGGAACACACATTTAAAAATGAACTCAAAAGAACAGTCAGTATCGGGTGTGACCCCCACGAACATCCACACAGGCAGTACAACGTCTCCTCGTGGACCTGAAATGCGACGGACTGGAGGGGGAACAGCAGACACCCAAAACCTGTCTGAGTTGGACCAGCGCATCAGGCCATCATCGGGGAGACGGCACTCTTAGGTAGGCTATGGGAAAAATCTAAATCACTATAATGTTTTTTTTTTTTTAATTTAATTAATGGTTTAATTTCCCCACCCTACTTTTTTGGAGAACCATCGACTGAGTGTCTGGATACAGACCTGGGCCCCGAGGCAATGCTTTCATCCCGTCCCTGTGCGGCTGCTACTCCAGAGGAATCGGAAGGGAATTTTATTATTTTTTTTTCTGAAACAATACCTTTATTTAAAACGTGTGTCCTAAAGGCAGGAGTTTACCATAGTGTGTGTAGGATCAAAATATGTCTTCGTATTGGACTGTGGGTCGCAACAATGGCTTGATTTATTACAACCCCGATTCTGAAATAGTTGGGACAAAGTGTAAATTGTGAATAAAATCAAAACGCAATGACTTTCAAATCACACCAGCCAGTATTTTATTCACAATAGAACAGACATAACATAGCAAATGTTGAAACAGAAATTTTACAATTTTATCCACAAAATGAGCTCATTTCAAATTTGATGGGTGGTACAGGTCTCAAAAAAGTTGGGACAGGGACCTGTTTACCATAGTGTAGCATCGCCTTTTCTTAACACAGAGTGGAGGCGTCTGGGCATTGAGGAGACAAGTTTCTTAGTTTAGCCATTGGAATTTGATCCCACTCTTGTTTAATACAGGTTTCCAGCTGCTGGAGAGTTTTGGGTCTCCTTTGATGGACTTTTCGTTTAATTTTGCACCAAATGTTCTCAATCGGTTAAAGATCAGGACTGCAGGCAGGCCAGTTCAGCACATGGACTCTTCTACTACGAAGCCATGCTGTTGTAATAGCTGCAGTATGCGGCTTTGCATTGTCCTGCTGAAATACACAAGGCCTTCCCTGGAATAGATGTCATCTGGAGGGAAGCATATGTTGCTCTAAAACCTTTATATACCTTTCAGCATTCGTGGTGCTCTTTAAAACATGCAAGTGTCCCACATCATATGCACTAATGTGTCCCCATACCATCAGAGATGCTGGCTTTTGAACTGAACGCTGATAACAGGAGGGTAGGTCTTTCTCCTCTTTTGCTGGAGGACACGACGCCCATGATTTCCAACAAGATTGTAAAATTTGGACTCGTCTGACCACAGAACACTTTGCTACAGTCCATTTTAAATGAGCCTTGGCCCACAGAACACGGCGGCGCTTCTGGATCATGCTCAACAATGGCTTCCTTTTTGCATGATGGAGTTTTAGGTGGCATCTCTGGATGGCACTGCGGACTGTGTTTACTGACAGTGGTTCCTTGAAGTATTCCTGGGCCAATTTAGTAATGTCAATGACAGAATCATGCCAGTGAGTGATGCAGTGGCGTCTGAGGGCCCGAAGATCACGGGCATCCAGTAAAGGTCTTCGGCCTTTTCCCTTACGCATAGAGATTTTTTCCAGTTTCTCTGAATCTTTTGATGATGTTATGCTCTCTCCATGAGGAGACCTTCAAAGCCTTTGCAATTTGACATTAAGGAACATTGTTTTTAAAGTATTCCACAATTTTTTTATTTTTTTTTTACGCAAGCCTTCACAGGTTGGAGAGCCTCTGGCCATCTTTACTTCTGAGAGACTCAGCCTCTATTAAGACATCCCTTTTATAGCCAACCATGTTACACACATGATGCCAGTTAACTTATTTACTTGCTAAATGTTCTTTCAGCTGATTCTCTTTTATATTAAGTGATTCTTCAGCCCTTTTTTGCCTGGGTCCCAACTTTTTTGAGACCGGTTGCAGCCAGAAAATTTGAAATGAGCTCATTTGGTGGATAAAAATGTAAAATGTCTCAGTTTCAACATTTGAAATGTTATCTATGTTCTGTTGTAAATAACATATTGGCTCATGTGATCTGAAAGTCATTGCATTTTGATTTTATTCACAATTTACACTTCGTCCCAACTATTTTGGAATTGGGGTTGTATTTATTCACAGGTGAAGTCCTGCAGAGCCAACCTGCAACAGAACCAGAACCCTCCTGCAGCAGTACCTCCACACGTACTCGGTCCCGTGCCTCTCCACGCCTGATCTCGGAAGTGGTGTTGGACAATCAAGAAAGGATAGCTGACATGCTCGATAAGATTGCCTCAACTCTCGGAACCATACACAGTACACTGAAAGAAATTAAAGCAACACTATGTAGTTTTTTCACTCTCAAACTATTTCCAAGATCATTCTGGTGATACATCAACTCACAATAGGTTAAATGACACCTTTGTCATGGCTCGATCGCGCCTGCATCGCCTTCACTGGCACTAAGTAATTTCGGGTTTCGGGTAGGGACCCAGGCCCAACAAAAACTACAAAACTTACTCACTGCTTTACGGCATACATCATACAATCCCCCTCCCCTACGTCTCTAAAGACCAGCGAGCGAATGTAGAATGAAGCAGAGTTGGAAGTGGTTGTAATGGCTGAAACGGGGAGGAAACCGAAGAAGGCAAAGGTGTGGTCAGAGGAGACATTTAAAAGAAACTGAGAAAGCGATAAAATAAGAGCCAGGACTAGGGTCAACATTGGACCGGCTTTCACTCGCTGGCGAGAGCTGAAAGAAGAGGTGGGATGTCCGACCGATGGCGACCTGGCGTTGTTACTTTTGGACAAGTAAGTACAAATTGTTACCTTAATCCTTCATTCTAGATCTAGTTCTAGTGCGTTTGAACTTGCTTTGTCAGGCTGTGTCCTTGAAATCATCTATAGTACCCCGTTAATGCTCAGTCAAATAATTGTGCACAGCGATTTATCTAGCTAGCTGGTATCCGACATGCTAGCTAGTTGTCATGCTATCGCTAGCTGGCAAAAATTGCTAAACTCGACTCCAGTCAAAATGTTTGATCATAAACGTGTACTTAGTGCTGTTACCCTCGACACCAAGGCTTCGGAGCTTGTATCAAAAATGTGAAGCACTTCCTAACGGAGCTCCGTGTCGAGGCTTGTGTCGTCTCAGCGAAATGACGTCACTCATTACTTTCTTAGCCTCATTTAGGATGTGGCCTCGAGAGGGGGGATCACTTTCGGCGAGTGATTCGACTATCAAATGTCCCAATCTTCTTCTGCAGCTCGTGGGTAGTTGCCAGTTGTTTAGATTGGTCAGTGCGGTTTGCAATTTTGTGCAGTGTGCGAGTTTGTCATTGCGTGCGATGGAGCCTGCAAGAAAGAGAAAGTTTTCACTCGTTCGGGAATACTTTGATTTGATTTCACCGAATAAGGTCACTTAGTGAGGCTATTAGGCCAAATTGCTAGACTATTATGTTATGTCATATTTTCAAACCTTCTCAAATAATTTCCAATACATAATTCCCTTAGTTTGATAGCTTTTCCTTTTATTATTAGGGGAAACGCTTTTTTTTTTTTAAACAAAAATACAAAGCTCTTTGTTTCACAAGCGCATTCACTGCCCTCAGTCCAGTCCCCCAAAGTATCTTTTAGTTTCGTTATTACATAATATGTAGTCAGAATACTTGATTTTATTTTGCATTTATTGATTTTGCCTCTTTCACGCTGTAGGCTTATGCTTGCCTATCATTTCCTAGGAAGCGCAATTCGTATGTGTTTTTATTGACCAATAGGGGTCTCTAGAGTGCATTCGAAACCTCAAGAAATAAACCACACTTCAACACATTTGGCTGGAAAGCTTCAATGCTTCATGAAGCTTCATCTCACCAGCACTACGTATACTTCAATCCCTTATGGAGTACTAAAGGTAGAAGATCAGCCGTGTTTTGTTTTCGGAAGGATAAGGTAATGATCTGGGTTGATCGGATCGCACATTACATGTCCTGCTTCAGGAAGTTCGCTGGTGTCGTTGGCTTGTCAACAAATGCACGTGTAGACAGTTTTTATTATGCCTCGGTGTGCGCATGCGCACAGCGAGCATGCGGTACTCAGTCTGTGTATTTGTTTGTTTGTCTGTCTGTTACCATCATAACTGCGACAGCGTGTGCATCCAAGCTAAAGTAACAATGCCAA